GAGAAGTATTACCTGCATCGCCTGAGGTAGAGGGGATATCAGTAGGGTGATGAGAGCGAGGACAACGAACATACACCTGCAAAGGAAGAGAGACTGGTAACTCTGTACTGACAAGGATGAGTGACTCCTTTGGAGGAAAAACGGATGACCCTGTAAGGATAGTGATCAATGACTCTGACTCTTGTGGTAATGGAAAATCAAAAGGAGTATCATCAACTAGAGGGGCAGACAAAGGACTGAAAGGAAAATAAGGAATATGCTCAAGAAAGGTAACATCTAGACTGTGATACATACGACGCCTAATAGGATCATAACATCGATACCCCTTAGATTGATGACAATAGCCCACAAAGATACAACGAATCGCTTTATCATCAAGTTTATGACGAGTAGGAGACCGATCCTGAACAAAACATGTGCATTCAACAACACGAGGGGGGACCGGAAAAAGTGCCCGCTCAGGAAATAAGACCTGTAAGGGAGCCTTATGCTGAAGAACACGACTCGGCGTACGATTACACAGAAAGGTAGAAGTCAAAACAGCAAAATGCCAATAAGATTTTGGTACCCTCATGCCTCTAAGCAGACAACGTACCATCCCTATCAAACTCCTATTTTTCCTCTCAGCAACACCATTTTGCTCAGGAGTATATGGACAAGTGAGTTGCTAAAGAATACCCTGAGAAGAAAGGTGAGACACTAAAGCATCAGACACATATTCTTTGGCATTATCCGAACGAAGAGCACGAACAATGACATCGAATTGTGTCTTAATCATCTGTAAAAACTGAGTGATTATAGGGAGCACATCAGACTTCCTATGCAAAAGGTAGACCCAAGTACAACGGGTATGATCATCTATAAATGTCACATAATATTTGGCACCTGACAGAGCAGTAACGGGAGAGGGTCCCCAAATATCAGAGTGTATTAGGTCAAATGGCTTGGGTGACTGATGCATGCGAGGAATATAATTGGCCCTAACATGTTTTGATAGGGAACAGATAACGCAATCAAGTTTACCACCAACACAAGCATTACTCAAAGCAGGAAACAACATACATAAATATTTAAAATTTGTATGTCCAAAACAGTCATGCCACAATTGAACAGTTTGTGACGAAAAATCATAACGACAACTACTAGGTAAAATACTAGCATGCAAGCTAGGAACAGAAAAAGACAAAGCAGGTGCAGGTGAAGGAATTGGTGAAACTGGAGATGGATTGCCAAGATAATACAGTCCATCTTTCTCATGTCCCTTGATAATAATCCTCCTGGTACTCAGGTCTTGCAAATAACACGAATCAGATAAGAATACAACCGCACAGTGAAAATCTCTGGCTAACTGATGTACAGATAATAGATTCATGGCCAACTTTGGCGCATGAAAAACCGAATGTAATGTAAGGCCATCTGGGAGACGGACTGTACCCCTACTAACAATAGGGGCATGTGTTCCATCTGCTAACTAAACCTGTGTATGTAACGGCTCGTCAAAAGTGGTGAAGTGATGGGCCTCACCTGTCATGTGACCATTCGCACCCGAGTCCAACATCCAAAGGGGAGATGAACTGGCACAAGCGTGAAAGGCACGAGATATACCTATAGTGGTGACAGCAGCAGTAGTCAGACTCTGAGAAATCATAGCAGACATAAGTATATCTAATCGGGAAGTGATAGCATCCATATCACTTTGCCAATGAGGAGCAGTAGCAGGAGTGGCGGTAGTGGGCGATGGTACCTCAGCAATAGCAACAGTACGGCTGCGAGAAGGTGGCTTAAGCTCTGGATGGAGCTTCCAGCAAGTAGCCCTGAGATGTCCTGGTCGGCCACAATAATCACATTGACGGGAATCCCCCCGTCTGTGCTGATCTGGGGCGCCCTGACGGCGCTGGTCTGAGCGTTGCCCATCCCTGACTAAGGATCCTGAACGGGACCCTACAGCAGCGGCAAGGGCCATCTGGTCAATCGAAGGAGTCAAAGCTGCAACTGAAAGTGATGCAATACGGACTCGACGCTCATGCTGCTCAATCATCCCATACACCTCATAAAGAGAAGGAAGTGTCAACATCGACAAGATCTGAGAACGAGGTCCCTCAAACTCATCACGAAGCCCCATAAGGAACTTGTGAATCCTATCCTCCTGCTCTCGAGTATGCAAGAATGCTGCTCCCTCGGACTCTATCTTCAGAATAGCAGCAAGAGGATGTAGAGTCTCATACTCAAGCCAGCGCTGGGTCAAATAGCCATAATAATTCTGAACGGTCATATCTCCCTGCCGAGCATATGAGAGCTCCTGAGAAAGCTCATAAACACGAACTCCCCGTCCTGACTGAGAATACATCTCTAATAATGTGCTCCATAGCTTCGGAATAGAGCTATAAAACTGGTGGATCCTACAAACAGGGGGCTCCATTGAGCCAAATAACCATCCAAGAATGACACAGTTTTCAGAGAACCACGCAGAATATCCAGGGTCGGCATCAGCTGGCTTTGGGTGAGATCCCGTCAGCCAACCAAGCTTCCCTACACGGCCTAAGAAAAGCTGGAATGAGCGTGACCACTCAGCGAAGTTACGACCATTCAACAATTGTGCCGTAACTTTTTGAGAGATCATGCCCGGTAATGCTGGTAATGCAACTGTGCTAGTAGGCACTGTATACTGGTCAAACATAAAAGTGAAAGTACCCATAGATGTCTCAACGGTAGAGGTGTCAACAGTAGGGTTCTCAAGTCCCTCAGTAGTAGCCATATCAACAACAATACTAGGGCACCCGTGACAGAAAAATAACTCTAAGATAAATAGAGGAATAAAATAAGGGAGAACAATATACCTTCAGTCGAACAGTAGCGACAAATAAAGAAGGTCCAAAAAGCTCCCAAATAATCAAGTCACGGTGCCCAAAAATCCAATAAATATATAAATAAGTGATCTACTGCATCAAGGGCAGATCAACAGAAAAGAGGATCTATTCTCTCTTAAAAAGGTCCTAGATACTGCAACCTGGCAGCACTGCGACCAAGTGTGAGTAGGACGAAGCTACAACGAAAAAGTGACCCGATAGTGAGCTGATGAGTGGACTGGACAGTGACCCAAGTTGGGCAGTGGGCTGCGGGCCTGGTTTGCTAGGTTGATTTGCTGGTTTCGTGGCTTGGTTTGGGCAGTCGGTGGGTTGTATGTATTGCAGGGGTGTTGTTCGGTTTGGGTAGTTTCGGTCGGTCGATTTAATATGACTGTTTTGTTTGTGTTGTCTGGTCGGTGGATTTGGTTGGCTGATTTCGTGGTTTGGTTTGGGCAGTCGGTGGGTATTGTTTGGTTTGGGCAGTCGGTGGGGGTGCAAAGATGCTGGTGATGATGGTTTGATGTTTAGTGTTTCGCTGCTACGGTGGTGTATTGTTGCAGTCTGTGGTGTAGGTTGGGATGTGGGTGGTTGCTGGCTGTTTGGCTGTTCGGTAGTAGTGTGGTTTTGCAGTGGGTTGTATGTATTGTTGGCCGGTGGTGTGGCTGCTGGTAAGGTGATGGAGGCTAGGGTTAAGGTTAGGGTTTGAGGTAGGGTTAGTGTATGGCTCTGATACCAACTTGGAATAAACGTAAGTGAAAAGGGATACTCAAATTAAGAGTAGAGCCCCGTATATATATCCAAAAATAATACAGAGTGACTTAAACATCCTTGTAGTTTAGGCAAAATATAAAAATCATAGTAAGGGTAAAAAAGGGAAAAGAAATCCTAATAAACTAGACTATCTATACTCCAACAATTCCATACAGAGACACTAATGGTGTTGCCAGCTTGTCCCCTTTCATTCCAAAACAAACGAACCATTGATCAATGTATGGAAATTCTTCTCGAAAATTCTGTTTCTTCGCTGCCTCAATTGTTGTAACAACAAAGCAATTAACTATCATCAAGGTAACATGTATTTGGTTTGAGCAATTTCTAAGACCAAAGATCTCCGGTAAACATTAAAAAGTTGAGTGGTTCTTTTACGACTGCTATATTAGTCAACAGCTTTTTTTTTACCATCGATCATGCCAAAAAAGAATATTATTCGGGAGGGAGACATTTTTAGTATAAACCAACTTGTATGAAAAACATTTGACTTCAATATCAATTTCATGCCTTATAGCTTCTAGCAGAATGCTTGACATTGATATGTCACCATTGATGGTGGTATATTCCTTGTATACTCCAGCATTTAGTCAACCTTATATGGCTTCAATGCAGTTTCATTGTCACACTGCCCTGCCATGTAAATTTTGAGAAACTCTTCATATTTAAAGGCTCCTTAAAGAGGGGGATTGCATTCATTCACCAGAGCTTTTGCAGGTTCTATCATGCTGTCCTTAGAAGGATTGATGAAAGTGACAATCGTTGAATAATGGTGGTGACAGTTATACTTATGATATTTTGATTTTGGTATATGAATAAACTCAAAGCCTGCAAAATCAATTGAAAATATATCATGACTAAAAAAGCTTCTCTTTGAGAGAAATCCATCATTTGAACATAAGATCATGGGTGAGAATCGAGTGTAGGGCCATGAGGAAAATGTAGGTGATCAAGCTTAGTAGGTTACTAGAATTTGTTGGAACCGAACTTAAGGCTGACCACACACGATCCTGGTATACCAATGTTTGTTCTTCATGCATAGCTCACACGAAGAGGAGGAAAGAGCCTTTGGTGCCATGTTTTTGCAGCAGAAACACTGCTGCATCATTTTGTATGGAAATTCTAGTTAAAAACCTGTCGATGAAGCATTTTCCATGATTAAAAGGATTGATGGTATTTGTAAAAGCAACATTATAATTAACAATGATGAAGTGAACATGAATTGGTATGAGGTATTTCTACTATCAAAGATTTCCAGTAATCATTTGGGCACAAATTAATCAGTTTGTACGAACAATAGTTTACTTCCTCTCTATTTCTTATCTCCAAGTTTTCATCACAATGATCAATGCTAGAGATTGATCTAATCACAATTCAGACAAATATTTAGTCAAGCTTATAAGGCTTCAATGCAGCTTCAGTATCACCTTTCACTGCTTTGTAGGTGTTGAGAAACTCTCCATATCGGAAGGCCCTATAAAGCGGGGGTTTGCATTCATTCACCAGAGCTTTGCTGGTTCTATAATTCTGCTGAAAGAAGGATTGATGAAAGTGACTATTGTCGTTCGAGCATTCCTTGAGTTTGTCACTGCTCTATGTTCAGCACTTCTCAATTTCCCATTACTGATTACCTACACCAGGAGTTACAAAACTGATAAATTTATCCGAAACTTAAGCAGGCAGACATATGGGATAGCACCATCTACAAAGGACTTTTAAAAAACGTCAGTAATATAGCACAGGTGATATAGACAATACCTGAAATTGGTAACCAATATTGTCCACAAATGCACTGGGAAGAGGCTCAACACCAATCCACTGACCGTCCTTAAAAACTTGCAGCCCATTCACTTCCCCTTGAAGGAGAATGGTTATAAGATTAGGATCAGAGTGTTTAGATAATCCCAACGTCAAACTCGGGTTGGGACAAGGAGGGTAGTGATTGACTGACAGAAGTTGTACATTGGTGAATTCATCTCCAAAATACCCCGGTTGAAGTCCTAATCCTTCGCAAATCAGGTCCAAAATCCTCAATGACAAGTTTCTAACTTCAACTGAATATGTCCCAACAACATCTCTTCATTGGACAAAGACAATGCAAACAGAATCCAGTACAAGATAATTTAGTTCTTCATATGTTTTATATGATTGACCTGTGTGTTCGTGATAAGCATAGTAAGTGAAAAAAGGAGAGGAAATTAATCAATTTATTGCAGTGATTTACCGATATCTGGTAGGCTTTTCTGGCCACAGGTGGATGACTTCATCTAGAGGATGGGAAGGGTGTCTCAAATTGTCTCGCCAAAAGTGAATCTCTTCATTGTCATAGTTATAGCTACTTGTGTAGAGTGAGCAGCCTTTCCTAGGATCCTTAGAGTAAACATTTTGCCCTGTCCTCGACAGGCATGTCAAAGAATTCCTTGGACACATTAATTGTGTCATCCATTAAACTCTCCGAAACTCCATGGTTGTTCACCTGAATTAATTACAAAGCAATATTCAGTGTGTTATTTTTGTTAGAGAGCGCCTCACAAAAGGTCTGTCAGATCAGATTATATCAGTAGCAGAAGACCTGAAAGAATCCAAACTTCTGAGCAGCATTGAGAATTTGTTGAACTGTGTTGTTTCGATGATCATGACCCACCACTGACTTTCCAAGATCAATAATTGGAATGTTCTTGCTTACAGGAACAATAGCCTCCCCGGGTCTTGTTTCCGGTGGGAACACATAGTTTTCAGGCAAGGACTGATCTTTAAACCAGCTCGAGACAAGGGTCTCCATGATATCTAGCAGTGAATATTCTCCTAAGCAAAACACTTCGGGTGGTGGTCAGTCAAGCAAGATTCACAACTGATATTCCAGAGACAGAAATTTCTGTAACAGAAGTGATTTCTGCAAAATTGTTGAAAATATTAAAAAATTTCTTAGACTTGATGTGCATGTCTTTTTTCATCCCCTAAAGTTTCATAGCAGAATTCTAAATCCATGAACAGATTTTTGCAGTCAGTCTTCAATCATAACCATTATGCATTATACATACACCTATTCATAGACATATATATATATATATATATATATATATATATATATATATATATATATATCATTACCACAAATAATTACCATAGTCATGCTATATTAATGGGAAATGAAAGTAGATAACCAAAAAGTTACATCTCCTACCTCAAATTAGAGCTTGAACACCAATTTTTTTCTTCTTCTTCTCTCTCTCTCCCCCTTAGAAAAAGGTTGCTTTCTAAGAAAGAATTTTCTGCCTCAGGTTGACGTTAACAATCATGCTTCCTAGCCTCGAAATTGTAAACAACAACATTTTTAATTAAGTGAAGTAAATATTTTTTATGTATATTTATTTACAAAATTTGGAAGTTTAAATCATTAGAAATATTTTAATGGGAATCTGCCATCATTGGCAAATCAATATCCATCAGAATCAAATTAAACAGATGCCACAAGTACAATTGGTGGGTGATCAATCACAAATTATAGTAGTACCAAGCAAGTTCTTAACTCAAGGTCAATGGTTTAAAAAAGGATCAATGATTAAGAACTTGTAAACAGACCAATATACATGCCTGCTTCCTTGAAAAAGAAACTGCTACACATGAAACTAACAAGTTTTGAATTGTGAATTTCCGACTCAATGTTACATCTACCAATTTTTTTTTTTTTTTTATCTCAAATCAATGTGAACTATAAGATTAGTAGGTCTCACAAACTTTCACTAATTATCTAATGACTCTCAATCTACCATATCATTAGGCACATATTGTCGAACCCTCGTGAGGGGATTTATAAATCTCATCCGCCCTTCTTTCACTCACCATTTAAGAAATTGTAAGCTATCTAAAATCGAAGAATTATGAAAAGTTATTAGAGATTAAACTAGCTTTTTTTTTTAAACAAAAAATAAACTAGTAGTGATTAGTTAATAAAAGGGTGAAAGAATAGTTACAACTTATATGAGTAAAAAGTTGAGGATTGATTGGATGAATAAAATTAAATAAATTAAAATTTTCGAAAATGCAGAAAGTAAGAGGGAAGACGTCTCAAGCTTTTCTTATCTTAATTTGATTGTTATAACAATATAAATAGATATTATGTTTTATTTATTTAAAATTATTATTTTGGTTTTTATGTATAAATTAAAAAGTTGTTCAACTTTTTGTAACATAAGCCAATTAGATTCGATAAAAACAAGAAAAAAAAAGAAAAAAATATTCAAACTAAATCCATCGAATTTTGGTAAGAAAATAAAAATTTTGGTGAGTAAATCCATAGATTACTAAATAATAAACATCATAATAAAAGATTTATCGATCACAATCACTGTTAAATTGAATCCCGTTCTCTGTTAAAAAATAAAAACAATCATTCTTAATCAACGGTCGACACTTGTCTAGGAGTACGCGTTTCTTTACAACGGTCCAATTTTTTTTTGGTAGGAGTACAACAACGGTCCTATTTTTTTTTCTAAATTACTAAATTAGCCTGCCTCACAGAGTCACTGGCAATTACTTAACGCCGTGAGAGCGCTAGCCAGGAATTTTGGCGCGAATGTGACGTGGCAAATAGACACATCAGCATACACCTCATCCTTCCCGCCAAACACCCCCATTATACCTACGAGCGGGATTCCTCTCTCTCTCCCTCTAAGCCCTGAGCCTCTCTCTCTCTCTCTCTCTCTCTCTCACTCACACACACTCAGAGCAATGGAGTCATCTGAATCATCACCGTTTGATCCCTTCAAGTCAAAGAAGATACTCCGTTCAAGCTTCAAACCGTCAGTATCACCGTCCGATCAAACGGAGAACAAAGCTACAAATCAAAGTCCATGGAACTCTGTAACACCTGAAAAGCCGATTAATCCTCCGCGTAGATTGAAGAACCGCCGGGCGGCGATGTCCGTGAAAGAAGTCAGACAAGCCGCCCAGAGGCTCCAGAAACCTGCTCCGGACCCGCCTACTCGATCCGACCCGATTGTGGACGCTGCAAAACATCAGATCGCGACGTTGCCAAGTGAAACTGCGGCTGCTAAATCAAAGAAGGCCGATGGCTCAGCAAAGCTCCCCGAAAAGTAAGTGCCTGTGAGTTTCTTTGAAGGTTGTTTTGCTTATAGATCTGAGGAACTTAGTACAAATGTAAGAACCTGTGTTGTCTTTCTGATGAATTTCTTGGATGTGGATTAATCACTTAATGATGCTGCTGTCTTAATAGATCCGGAACAGAAAAGAGACTGAAAATCTGCGAGGATGTTGTTATTGGAAAGAAAGAAAACAAATTCAATGAATCTTGTGAACGTCGTTTAGTATATTCTTTGGTGATTTTGTTGTTTAGTGACTATATAAAGATAACATTATGTAAATTCAAAATTTTTTTTATTATTTTGGGTATATATGGTCAAATGTATTCATTGTTGAGTTTTGACAGTATTGAGTTATGGACATGTAAGAGTGTCGTTTGTTGTATGGTATTTGAGAAGGTAAGGGCCTGCAAGCTTGACAAAATGTTGTGGAGGCCTTTTTTTTTAAAAAATTTTTTTAACAAACTTCTTGAACACTATATACAGTCAATTTGAGGTGACATTGTGTTTATGCTTGTTGGTCTGTGCACTTTTTGATGATTTTAGTGTTTTTGTCTTCAGATATGAGATATTGGACAGTTTCTTCAATAGCTTGGATAGTTCAATTCGCCTGCTTCAGTTGAAGGGATCTATGTCAACATTTATAAATATTAGCCCCAAGATAGAGTGTTTGACTGATAGGTAGTAAATCTGCATTCACACGGGTTTCTAAATTGTATTATTAAGAATATTTTTTTTATGGGTACTGACTTGTTGTAATTGATTTGATTTGATTTCCTAGGAGGTTTACTTATAGTCATTTAGCTCAACTGAAGTTTATTTTACCCGAGGCAATTGAGGTAAAGAAAGTTCTTACACATGATGAGCGAACAAGTTGTATGAGGCCAGACCTTCATGTTACACTGAATACCAATGCGATTGATAATGATGAGAAGATGAAATTGGCTAGCGGGAATGCACGGTTGAGAAAAGTTTTTCATTCTCGGCTTTTGGATTTCTCTAAATCCCATCCTGAGGTAAGCTAATTTTATACTTCCTATGTGTAATTTATTAAATATGTGCCGTTTTTAGTTGTTGCGTTTGATTTCTGGAACTTTGGAGTATCATTATTCTTACATATTTCCTAGGACTGAGTAGTTGATGCTACTTTAGGGCTCATGTAATAGGCATGATTCTTTGGAGTGGTATTGATTGAAAGCATAAAAGCCATTGTTTTACCACTATCATGTGGTGCTTCATCTGTGTAATTAATACAGTAGGTTGATCCAGTTGCATTTGGAGAAAGTTATTTCCTTGAGGTTTCATTTTAAAATCCTCACACAATGTTGTAAAAACCTTCAATTTTCAGGCCACCATTGTTATTCATCTGACACTCAAAAAATAAGCATAACAAACCTGCATTACCTGCGGTGTCTAGCCCTCTTTCCCAGGACAATCTTGTAGTGAAATCCTCCCATCTTAAGTGCTCTCCTCTATTGACTTCCTAATAGCCTTGAACTTGTTGATATACTTTTTACCCTTGCATGGATCTAGAGAAAAGGTGGGATTATAGCCAGACAGATTTTGCTCTGTACTTTTGAAGATAAAATCTCCAAAAGAAATGGACTGTGTTTTAGCTTCTCTTTCATACATCTTTGGTACTCTTGTCATTAAAAATGTGACTTCTGCATTTTAGGGGGATGAAATTCCTGAGGGAACACTGCCGGAGCCGTTCAATCGCTCAAAGCAAGATCTGCGTACAAACATAATCAAAACCTCCACTTCATCCTTGACTTGTGAGATATCAACTGATGCTCTTGTAGAACAGCAGCCAGCAGCATCATCCCTTCTGTCTCAATCTTTCCGGAGGCGCTTCTCCCAGCCAGGCTCCAATCAAGAAGTATTGAACACTCATTCCTCTCGAAAGGGAATTAGGGCACCTGCTGTTCCATCCCCTATTAAATCCTCTTCAAAACCATCAATGGATGAAGAATGCATAGCACTTGGGGCTTCTGCTGCCAGTCTACCACCATCTCATCCTGAACCTGCTGCAACACCAGTCAAAAAAATGGACTTGACAGAGAATGAAGATTGCTTCTCCATTGGAAATGCTAGCATCCAAGGAACTCCTGCCAACCACGTTTCAACACCAGCAAAGCTGATGAGTGTGACACCTGCATTGCAACCACCAAAGAGGCATTGCATGAGCCCAGATGATGATACAACCAGATCACCAAACAAATTGGTTAGGCGTCCACCTCGTAGTAGGTCCCTGAAATTTGACACTCCTGTGAAGAATGCAAAGTTAGAGGATGAAGGTAGTGAGAGTCAAAGATTATTGATCGACAGTGATATTTTTGACATTCTTCCTGAGAATCTTCTGCAATCAGTAAGCCCATAATGAATTTGCTATGCTCTAATCTTTTTCTGTGCATGTTTCGGTGTAGGACATGCCCATGTCCTATATTTTATGTTCTGCAATGTGAAATGAAGAGATTTTGCTGTCCCCGTTCTATTGTAATTGAAATTTGAATCAGGGACAGGTGATTAAGATGACCCATTTCATAAATGTATGCCATTATTGTTTAAATTCTGTCAAATATAAAGTGACTTAATAAATGAAGTTCTCTAAGTTATTTCTTAGATTCAGACTTTGATAACATCATTATATATGCTCCACTGATATTCTTGCATTTTACATCTTGTCAAATATGAAATATATCAATTTGATAAAGAAGGCCCACATTATTATTTCATATAGAAATCCAACCTCAATGCTTCTCTGCAGATAAGAGAGAAAGAGAGGAAGGCGCTAGAAGAGCAAGATCCAGCAATCTCTCAAGCAAAATGGCGGCAGCAGATGATTGCCAGCTTACCTAAGCTCTTTGACAGGATTCATTTCTTATTTCAGTCAATTAAGCGCTCTATCATTACAAAAGACGAGCTTATGCACAGGATAATAGCAAGCCAGTTGGATATTGTTGATAGAAGTAAGCTTTGTTTCTGATCATTAGAAACATAGACTACCTTTTGATCTTGCAAAAACTTCTTTTTCACCAAGTCCTCATGTTTACATTTACAGGAGAAGTAGAAGAGCAGCTTAGGTTGTTGCAAGAACTAGTTCCTGAATGGATATATGAGAAGTCAGCATCTAGCGGGGATCTCCTGCTATGGTAAGTCTTGTATGCACCTTGTTTGTTTTGTGTGGTATGTGAACATCAAGGATGTAAATTGGGGTTTGTCATCATTTGATTGGATTATTGTTTATAGGTTCAGAAACATGAATACTTAAAGAGTATATGATGTTACATGTCCTTTTGCAGCATCAATAGGATAACAAGTCCTGAGTTGATACGCACAAGGCTGGCGGAAGCAAATTGAAAGAGTGCTTATGGAAATTCAATCTCAATTTAGTTATGGAAGCATATTAACATATTACAAGTTACCCTGTACATTTCGGAATTTTATGTAATTTTGTTTAGTTCAAACTTGCCTCAACCTTTTTCTTTTGGTCGGTGCCTCATCCAGTTCGAACTCCTCGTGCTTTATTTAGATGTAACTGATGGAATTCTGCTGGAAGTTTTGAGTTTTTTGCTAACTAGTCAAGCCTGCTACCATGTAAGATATTAAACTTGCGACACTGAAATATCCCTAATTGCATTTTTTATACTGCCTCAAGTATTGATCTTTGGTTAACACTTGGTTTGTACTCTACTCTAGTGCTTGGCCGGGTTATCATATGAACAAATCTTATCGTTGTAGAAAAGTAAGCAAGTCTTGAATTATCTGATACCCAAGCTCTATATGGTGTTTTAAGCTCTTCTGGTGAATTATGAGACAAAAGGCGGCCTAAACAGGTCTGGCCTTCCATTTTCTGACATTCCAAGCCCTGCAATGTGTTTTTTAATAGCTGTTTTGTGGCTGCAGCTGAACACGGTAACCCTAACCCCTTCTTACGGAGGTTTCGTATTGTGATGCATTCATCTAGGTTGCTTTGCTGTCTGCACTTGTTTGTCCTATGAAACAACAGACATCTTTGTTTAAGGTCTTGTAATGGCCGCCCCTTTTTGTCTCTAACAAGTGTTTTACCCAAAACGTACCTTATAAAGTAACATAGGCAGTAATCATGGATTCCTTTACATACGGCTAGCCGGTGTCTTCAAGGACAAAATGAGCATTTTCGTCACCAGTTGCTTTCGTTTTTTGGGGGGTTAAAACCAATGAAGAAGAATCCAATGGTGGTGTGGAAATTTTCACCACTGTGTATGTATACTACATAAATATGCCAAAGATTATACCAATAGGAAGAGCGGATATAGTCAGGTAAGGTTGGAAAGACAATAAGGAGATATGAGGCAGAGAGAACTGTTAGAATTCAGGACACCCCAACACCCATCTTTAGGCACTAACAACTGGGGTGGTGCTTCTCCATTGTTAGCCAGAGACATACCCCAGGAGTCCCTCGAACAAAGGTACTTGAGGCTTAACACGATTCGAACTCGAGACGAAATCTTTCCCAGTGGGAAAGATGACTTCTTCAGCATGTCTAAGATTGAAGCAGCTAAATTTCAATGTCCCCCGACACCAAGCCGTAGAGGTTTTTTGTTCAAATTGATATGGAGACGAAAAGAGAGCGCCACCTTGGGTTCCAATTCAAAGAAAAAGAAGAAATGGTTCCCGAGATGGGATCCGAAAAATAGATGGCCTCAAGGTTGGTGTTGATCTAATTTCATGGCTTTGAAAATTCAGAAACTGTGGAGGTTCATGACAGAAGATGTGAACTAGCTCACATGTTGTCGGAGATGATGAGTTATTTTTTTCCTATGTAACTTCTACAATCCATGCCAAGTATATGACATAATGCTAGAGATGTTGTTGTAATAAACTGAATAGATTCGATCTAACACGATTAATTAATAAATCAAGAATGTGTGAAGTTAATCAGAAGAAATACACGACATGAACCCGTTATGATACAATTTGTTAAACATGAATTAATAAATGAATCGGGTACAAATAAAATATTTTTTAATATAAATCTATTTCCCCCGATATGATTGAGAGGCTTAATTTTGACACTGTTAAAAAAAACTTAATTTAACAACATTACTACAATAGTATTACTTGGCTTGTGGTCGAGGGTATATTGGGAAATTTACTCGCCCTCTGTAATGCTATTGCTCTGTTAGTCAAACCAGCAAACACAACACAGCTGATCACCGGTCTCTCACTCTCGCCTCTCCATCAGTCACTCCTCCACCTCCCTCACTATCATCACTCCCTTCACTGTGTTCGCCGTCACCGACCACCACAGCAGACGTCGCAGCTCCGACCACTTCCAGGTAAGCCCTTTTGTTCCGTTCTCTCTTCTCCTCCTGTTTGCTTCTTTTTCTTTTTTGTTTCTGATTAAGACCCACCACAGCTTACAACCGGCCCAAAGGAACGCTGTCGGTGATATGCACCCACGACCTCGCCACCACCCATCTTGAAGCACTCGTGCCCTAAACCTATCTACCATCACCACTGCTCTTGTGCATTCGAGCCACCCATAAACCTCCACCACAACCTAGTGCAGTCCCAAAAACCACCTTCACTTTTCAAAATCACAGTCCATTCATAAACCCTCATCAAGACCATTATAAATCTCGAACCAGCGCACCCACCCCCTGCAGCGGCCACCACTTTGAAACTTTCGATGGATTCGTCCCCATAACCCCCAATTCATCAAGACCACCACACACCTCGAAGCAGCGCACTGCCTGCAAGTCCTTCAATTTGGATAATTTGCATCTAGTTTCTTCAATTTCTTCGCTGAGTTCTTTGAATTTCTTCAACAACATGGAATTGGTTTGAAATTGTATGAGATTATGCCTGCCGGTAAGTATATTTTGTACGTTTCTGAAAAATTGGATGAGAATTGAATGAAATTGAGTGAATTGGACAAATCTTTTTTTTATGGAAATTGGAGAGAGTACGGATTGAACAATAAAAAACGTTTTACGCTGATGCAATCAAGGCATGATTACATGTTGTAGGTCACACCAAGTTGAAGAAAAATTAGTCATGTCTACCATGTTACCATGGTTTGTAACTTAATATGTACATTGAAATGCAGAACTATCTGATATTAAGGAATCAGGATAGTAGTAGCAATTGCCATAAGCATCATGATGATAGTATTTGTTGTTCTCATCTTCTTTATCGTTTTTCAACTGGGAGAAATACATTTTCAATTTGATGCTTGGTAGTCTGTCAAAATATCATAATTACAATATTTCTGTTTTAGCTCAACTTGGGGAATCTTTAATTCAGTGAAGTTGCTCCAGTTAAAATTTTGGTCTTTTGTTTATCTCACGAACAGTGCAATATGAATTTCGATAACCTATCATATTTTGATTGCTACGCAAGGTACTCCTTTTCTGTGCATGTATGTGTTTATAATTCTAATTTATTTGTTGTTAGTTAAAGCTTACTTAAAACACTAAACCCTAAACTCAGCCGTTTGATCTTTATAAAGTTGATTCTTTATATTG